CACAGCAGTTGGACAGAGTGCTGACATCGGTGGTTCTGCTGGAGGGTTTGGAGTGCTCAAAGCTGGGTGGGGCCAGCTCCAGGAGAAGCTGATTTTTGTGTAAGGTTTTGAGTATAAGGAGAGGGCTTGGCTGAGAAGAAGAGAAAGAATGTTTCAGGTGCGGTGGGTGTGACCTGTTTGAAAGCTTGGAGGTGGAAGAGGATGAGTCATCCTGGCAAATGTTTGCCTGTCCCCATTGGAGAAAGAGTTCCACATATAACAATGAAGGAGCTGCCTCCATTTTCAAAGCTGTTGTAGGTGAGAAGACTTGGGTTGCCCCAAGGAGAATCAGTCCATCATTGTCTAAGATACCAAAGGGAAGCAACATCCAGGGATGCTGATCATCTGAGCAGTAGATTATCCGAAACATTTTCCCTTTGGATCTGATTTTACATTCTGAACCACTGGCATAAAATGAGACAAGCTGGGTGGACAAAGTGGCTTGTATTGCTGGTATATTAGGAAAGCAATATAAGCTCTGAGATATTTGCTCTTTGACTTTGGGGTCCTGGGAGTGAACAAATCCCTCTTGGGATGATGCTCAAGGTAAATGGGCAGCTGTCTTCACTGAGAAGATGCCATCTTTTTGCCCACTGTGTATGCACCTGCCTAGAAAGAACAAAGAACAGTGGGAAAGCAAATGCTTGGCCAGGAGGATAGGGGTGATTCTATGGGGTCAGCTGGGTGGTACGGTCATCTTCCCTTACCTCCTTTAGGACCAAGAATCCTCCTCAAAGAGGTGGCATTGGAGTGTTTTGGAAGTGCACTTGACTCCCCTCTCTTCCCTGGTTCACTCACTGCCAGGAGCTCTTTGGTTGGGAAGAGGGCCTGGTGGAATAGAATTCTAATTCCATTCTGTAAGTAAATGGGGAAGTTCAGCCTCTAGACACCAAGCATCTGAGCACCTTCACCACAAGGGTGAGCAGGGGACAAGAGCTGACCAACAGCCTTAGATATGCCCTGTGCCCAGGATCCTGAGCAAAGAAGAGTTATGATTCCTAAAGCACATGCTGGTGGAGAAACTGCAGTTACCCTGCTCCTATACAGAGGAGAAGACAACTCACCAGAGGTGGCAGGACTAGGTGCAGTTAATCAAAGAGAGCTTTCTAAAAGACATGAGTTCTAGAGAGGTTGAGGGACAAGGTGGAATATTGGAAGGAAGCCTTCAGAGCTATCACGATACACTCACTGAGAAGCCCCATTTTCTTGCTGTTGAACTTGTGTTTTAGAGGGTGTTACTTACCAGACAGACACCCTAGGGTCAGGAGAGGGGACTATAGGATTCTGGTGTGGACACAGGATGCTTATAGACAGAGTTCACCTGTACCCCTTGGTTATCTGGCACACCACAAGATGTGACTACAGGTATGTAACATCTCTGGACTCCTTCTCTTCTCTGCTGCTTCAGCCCCAACTGAGGCCTACCTTCTGCTAGAGAAGCAGTGCTGGCTGGTGTGAGGCAGCCTCACTCTCACAGGGGAGCCACAAAAAGCAGGCTAAGGTAGGCACGGGGCTGTCTGACACCAATTATAGATGTATCTTAGGGAGTGCCTTCAGGGGCTTCCTGGAAGGGCCCAGAGGCCTTGGCCTACCCACACTTGTCATCATCAGAGTCCCCACAGGGACATGAGGACTAGTTTTTGGAATCATAAGCATTTTAGAGGTTACCTTGTCCATCCCTGCCTTCGTGGTAAGAGAGTCCACCGCCTGACACACAGAAGAGTGTGTAGAGGGAGGGACAGGGCATGGAGGGAGGAGTGGGAAGGAGTTGCTTTATCTGGGTGACTTCGAGGGAGGTGGATGGCACTGCAGACAGATTGCCTTTCAGAAGGGGCAAGGCCTGGTGGGAACTTCTCCCAGCAGGAGGCCTCCCCTGGGCTCTGTGGAGCTCTTTGTCTGTTACCTCCCAGATTTTCCATCTGGAAGGAGCTGGCTGACCCATGCCTTCCCTTTGATGAGAAATACCCACTCGTGGGGTGAAAGCCAAGCAAACTCTGGCCTGCCAAACACTGGGAATGATGATTGAAGTAGAAAGGATGTCAGGAAAGTGAATAAGGCTGGACACCAGCAGCCCAGGGTCCTGATGGAGCACATGTGGCTACAACTTCGGTTCCCCTGGGAGCTAATTCTGGGCATCTAGTCCCTGGGATTGCCTCTAATCTTCTCCCACTGAAGGCAGCCTTCCAGTGAAGGCAGCCTGCCAGTGAAGGCAGTTTCTGGGATAGGGAGAGGTACAGCTGCCTGCCCTCAAAGGAGCTTGGAGTAAGTCAAGAGGTTCAGGGGGCCACACAACAGAGTCCTAGGATGTCACTCACAGGGGGAAGTCCCTTCAGGAGTCAGCCCTGTGCCTGGGGCTTATGAGAGTGGGGCTGCTGGAGGCTTCTTTCTCAGGGATCAGGGAAAATTCTGTGATGACCCCAAGGTAGGCAGCAAAGGAAATGGAGGAAAGCCTTTGATGTAGGGCCCTTCTTTCTAGTGAGCTGAGCCCTCTCTCTGAAGAAGAGAGTTCAGACTTCTTTGAATGCCATCAGGCTTGTGTTATTGTAATCACATGACCATGGAACACTGGAGCTGTGTGAGGCCTTTGTGGTGTAGAGAACTCAACTCCTCTTTTCACAGAAGAGGAAACTGAGGCCCAGAAAGAGCAAGTGACTTGCTCAAATGCCAGTGTCAAGACCAATTTCAACATCTCTTTGCTCACAGGCCAAGTTCTCTCTGCTGTAGCCCAATAGCCCTAATGCCCAGTAGGTCCTCCATGATGGAATAGGTAGGGTTGGGGACAGTGCCCTGCCTTGTAAGTTATGGGGTGGCCATTTGACATTGGACAGAGGAGATGGTCCCAGGCAGGAATGCCTGCCTCATTCCAAAGCTTCCCCATGGCTATTCACTCTACTCCTTTCTGTCGCAGACCAGCACAGATATTCCAGTCCTTGAAAAAGCATAGGAGTCTGAGTGGGCATGGCTAATTTAATGAGATGAGATCATCATCAAACCCTCTTCTTTTTGGATGAAGTTTTTGATCATCACTTTAGAGATAGCCACTTGCTGTTGAATCATCTCTGATTCATGAAGACCCATTCGGTTAAAGCACTCAGCTGTTAACCAAAAGGTTGGAAGTTCAAGTTCACCCAAAGGTGACTCAGAAGAAAGGCCTGGGATCTGCTTCTGAAAAATCAATCATTGAAAACCCTACAGAGCACAGTTCTACTTGTGACACACATAGGGTTGCCACTTTAGAGATTTAAAAAACTCACTGCTGTCGAGTCGGATCCAACTCATAGCGACTCCTCTTTGGGTTTCTGAGCAGTATCACTATGGAAGTAGATTGCCCAACCTGCCTTCCGAGGAGTGGCTGGTGGGTTTGAACTGCCAGTCTTCTGGTAAAAACCAAGCCAGCTGCCCATGAGTTGATTTCAACTCATGACAAACCCATGTATTTCACAGTAGAACTGCATAGTGCCTAAGGCATTTGACTGCTAACCAGAAGGCTGGCAGTTCAAACACACCAGCCACGCCTCAGAAGGAAGGTTGGGCAATCCTACTTCTGTAGTGATACTGCCTCGGAAACCTAAGGAGGGGTCACTATGAGTTGGGGCCGACTTGATGGCACATAACAACAACAACAACATAATCTCTTAAAAGTAGATCAACAGGCCTTTCTTCCAAGAAATCTACCTCTGGGTAGATTCCAAACAACCAACTTTCCTGTTGGAAGCCAAACACTTAACTATTTATGCTACCCAGAGACTACTTCAAACATAAGGAGCACATATTCCTCTTGGAGGCTCCCATTGGAGCTTACCTTTATTCCCAGAGCCTATCATTTAACAAGAGGGCCCAAGGAAGGGGCAATCATTGCTCTGGATGTCCAGATCATAGAGATGTGGCTTGCCCCTTGTGGAGTTCATGGTGTAGTTGAGGGGATGGAACCAGGCAGGATGTGACTTGGGGTATACTCAGCAAGACAGTATGTGTTTAGAGGTAGGATAGTTTTCAGCATGACTGGTCAAAAAAGATTTCCTGAGAGTGAGGTCTTGAGCTTGATAGGTGAAATTGCATGGCTGTGGCCAGGGAGGGAAGGCAGACTCTTCAAGGAAACAGTATGAGCTAAGTCATGGAAGTGTGACACATTTTCAAGGATAGTGAGAAGACCAGGGTGCACAGAGTTAGGCCTGTCCCTTTGGGCTCCCCTCACATCCTGTGGAAGGCACTACCAGGAACCCCCAAATCCAGTTCTGCTTTCTATAATTCAAGGCCACTTTGCCGCTAATAACCCTAATGACACTCTGTCCTCCCAAAGAACCTATCATTTGTGGGTCTCCAAACTCTCTGAAAACATTAATTAATCCTTACTGAGGCCCTTTGAGGTTGATCACTGCTCCCCCTTCACCAGCTGGAGCATCTATGAGATGAAGGAGGGGGTGGAAGGTCACCTGGTTACTGGTGGGGGCCAGGCTGACATTTGAAGCCAGAGTTCTGCCCGACTCAGACTAACCAGTTGCTGCTGCTCTGTGGCCCTGACCTTAGAGCTCGGACCTGGAATGTCAAGATCCTGCCTGCCTTCCCCGGGTGGGAAGCTTATCTTTGTGGAACATGGAGTTGTGATTCCTTGGAGTGGAACAGCAGTGCTCAGAGGCCCTATAAGCCAACTTTTAGGCTGTAGGTGTCAACTGGACTAGCACAAGCAGCGGGACAGCCATTAGGTCCCCAAGAAGGGATTGGCCAAAACCCTCAGAGCTGTCTCTATAGCAGTTTTGCTGGCTCTTCTGTTGGCCTTGTGGAGGATGTGGCATTCAAAAGGAGGTAGCTGCTGATAACATCTCCACCCTCCTCCTCCAGGAGCTTAGACTGGTCTCCTCCGTGGGGTATGGTGGACCTAGATGGAGAGGTGATGCCCTGGGGAAGAGCAGTGGTGAAGAACATGGCCATCACTTTACTAACTCCCTTCCTTTGTCCTCAAGGTTCCATGTATGATGGCTTGACTGACAATTACAACAACTATGGGACCACCAGCCGGAGCTCCTACTACTCCAAGTTCCAGGCAGGAAACGGCTCATGGGGATATCCGGTAAGGAACTGCTTCCATTCAAAAAGACTTGGAATGTTTGTGGGGCTTGTTTGGGGTTTATGGTAGTGAAAACCTGCACTGGTTACTAAGAAGAATGATGTAGGTGGGAAGGGGTTGCTTTGGTCTGTGAAGTAAGGCCCAGCAATTCTGACCAGATCTGTTCACTTGGGTGTTATTTCTTAGGTGGCTTTTAATGCAGTCTCCTATTTTGACTGATTGGATACCTCTGAATGTCTCAAATGAAAGCATTTTAGGGGGAAAAAATTAAGAAAAGAGCATATTTTTAAAAATTTATTTTCCCAGTATGTCTTCATTAATCATAGATTTAAGAGAAGTTTGAGTTTTCTACACCCATGTGCAGACCAATTTAGATGTTTCTAGGAAAGTCCAGAAGGGAGCTATCTCTTCAGTATGTATTAATGGCCAAGAAGGGAGCTCTAGCAGGTCTTCTGAGACCAGAAGATCAAATCCACTTCAGTGACTCTGAATAAGAGATTGTATGCTGGAGTGGAACGTGCTGGAGTGAAATGTGCTGGAGTTTATAAGTCAGACAAACCTTGGCAATTTTAGCTCTCGGGTAAATGTCTTCAATATCTGGACCTCAGTCTCATCACATTAAATGGCTTCAGCAAAGTCTACCTGTTAGGGTTATTGTCTGAATTACATGAGATAAGATACATGAAAAGGCTTGGTTGTTAATTGTTCTTAAGTTTTTTTTTTAATTAATGTAAATAGAGATCATTCTAGATCATTCTAGATCACTGTCCTTTTGTGTAATCAATTTATTCTCTCAATCCTTCCACCTATTTATTGAACAAACATTTATTGAGCCCTAACTCTGTGCCAGGCATTGTGCTAGGTGCTCTGGGTACAACCTTACAAGCCATGGCAGGAGACTTCTACTAAAAATCAGGGCTGTTGGGCTGATGACACCCAAGGTTTCTCACAGTCCTCAAATTCTCTGATTTTCATTACTTTTATTGATTTCAACACTCAGGTGTATCATTCTTGGGAACTCCTTTGTGAGACCCTTAAGACATGGTACAGATGAGCACAAAGGCTGCTTTTACATGGGAAGCTGAAGACACTGCCTTCTTGAGACTCCTTTCACTGGTATTTGCTTTGAGCCAACATTGCTCACAGATATCACTCTGATTGTGAAGGTCCTAGGGTCCTGGGCAAGGGAGAGGATGGATGGTTTATGAGTCCTTATGTCGTTAGTTTGATTTCTTCTTTCCTCAGTTTTTCTTGGGGCTAATTTTAGAGGATATGTCTTCCTTGCTTGTTACAAGTTGGGGACTAAAGGAAAGTGTTAACTAGATTTGCTGCAAATTTACTTCCCTCCTTTTTTTTTAAATCCCCCTAACTCCTTAAACTGGCTAATCAGCACAGGAGTGAATAAAGGGCTTTGATACAAAGGGTGACGACCAGGCAGACTCAGAAAATGACTTAGTAATGCAGTGTAAAGACCCAAGGAAGGCAGATCACTGGGCCAGGAGTCAAAATGAACAACCAGGCTGACAATGCAAAAGTTACATGTCTTTACAGACATGATCTTTCTGAATCAGTGCTTGGAAGACTTAGGTTTTAGGCCTGGTCCTGCTACTCACTGGCTGTATGACTTTGCTTGGAAGACTTAGGTTTTAGGCCTGGTCCTGCTACTCACTGGCTATATGACTTTACATAAACCTCTTAACCTCTCTGGGCATCAATTTTCTCATCTGTAAAATGAAAATGACAATATCTGCCATGTGCACACTTCACTCTCATGTTCATATCATGTTTCATTGACTATGAAGTTTTATCAAATGGGAAGTGTGTGGTTATTACACATGGAAATTTGTCACTGCATGCTGCAAGGGAACTCTTGGGAAAAAGAAAAAAAAACAAACTCACTGCTGTCGAATGGGATCCAACTCATAGCAACCCCTCCTTGGATTTCTGAGGCAGTGTCACTACAGAAGTAGATTGCCCAACCTTCCTTCCGAGGAGTGGCTGGTAGGTTTGAACCATCAGCCTTCTGGTTAGCAGTTAAATGCCTAAGGCCCTATGACACCAGAACCCCTTCTTTTGGGAAAGTTGTATCTAAAAAAAAGATCCACATATGGCCCAAGTTGAGCATTTTGAGTCCTCAGCTATCTCACCAGCTTTTAATCTGCCCCCCATCCTGCCCTGTGCCCATTTTCTGACAACCAATGAAAATCCCTTTCTTTCCCCCCACCCTCAGACTCAACCCTCCTCGCTGGCTGCTGGCAGGACTTCAGACATGACTCATGGCAAGGTAGCTGCTGAGGCACGTCCTGTCTCCTCTCAGTTCAGGAGAGGCTATGGGAACAGGGAGGAGCTGAGCACACATGAGGATTTGGTGGGGTGGGGGGGAGCCAAGAAGGAAGGAAATGGAATAATTTATGTTAGATCCAGACGTATAATCAGCCGAGGACTAAGCAAAACCAAACAGGGTCCAGGTGTAGGGAGAAAGAGAGCTAGAGAAGAGGTAATAGAGATCTGTGGTGGTGAGATAATGTTATGCCTGTGGGATTTTCCCATGGATGGTACAAATGGCACCGAATGATTTATTTTCTCTCCTCTGGTTAAACCAACATGGCAGCAGAAAGCAGAAAGCGTAGGGGGCAGGGGGGAAGGTGTGGCTCATCAGCACAGGCATCGTCAGCATATTCTCAGAGCTTCTTAACACTGATGAAGGACTGTTTCCTACAGATACTTTATATTCTCTCAGTCAGCCAACTTGTATTGAGCAACCATTGGGGCAAGAAAATGAGCTGGGTGCCGCAGACACATAGATGAAAATACTGTCTTTGTCCTCGTTGAACTTCTAGTCAAATTGGAGAAGCACAGAGGTCAACAGATAATCAGAAGCCTGGTCTTAGTTGCTATACTGGAGTATTCCACCAGTACTGCCACTGCTCAAAATACTTCCAAAAAAAAAGCCCCACACTCAAAGTCATCAAGTCAATTGTGATTCATAGCAACTCCTCCTTGGATTTCTGAGGCGGTATCTATGAGTCGGGCCGACTCGACGGCACATAAGAACAACAACAACATCTCTATGGAAGTAGATTCTCCAGTTTTCCTTCCAAGGACTGGCTGGTGGGTTTGAACCTCCAGCCTTCTGGTTAGCAGTCAAGTGCCTTAGGTACTACGCTACCAATAGACTGTCTTCACTATCATTTTAGGAACCATGTAAGAAAACCAGTTTCATTTCTTCCTTGTTGTAACTCATGTTTGACTATAAATGACATTACTCAGATTTGCCTCCAGTTCCAAATATGAAACCCACTCTCGTATATCTGTGGTGGTGAGATAATGTTATGCCTGTGGAGATTTGTCATCACTAAGTATAGATTTTATTTAAATGTGTAATGAATCTGCAGGTAATTCCAATAGGGAAGTTTTTAAGATGTTTAGAAAGCAGTAGTGTTATTTTATAGTTTTACCTCATATTCTATATCAGGAGATAAAGGTCTGTCTACATTTTTCCCAATTAAAAAAATGATCATGCTATATATAGTCTATGATCACTTATATTATTACAAATTAAGGAAATTGAATATAGAGAGTTAATCTTGTAATAAAACAAAACTTACAACAAAGTTAGTCTTATGAAAAAACACAAAGGGGCTTAAGAAAAAGAAGATTGATTCAAAGAAGGTCATTGGCCCAGCCATTATCTCCTCTTGACTGACTGTTCCTACTTCCTCCCCCTGGATGACAGCATTGGCACCCCAGAGCCCAGGACCTCAGGGAGAAGGAGGAGCCATGAGAAGTGAGGCGAAAGACCGCAGTCTTCAGCCTTCTGCTATGTTTCATAAACAGACTCCTGTTTGTGTTGTTCCCATTCTCAGAACCAGACTTGTGACATATTATAGCCCCAACAGGACAATTTACAGTTGAGGAAACTCAGGCCCAAAGAAGCAAATGACTCATTAAAGGACACATAGTTGGTTGATGATACAGCAGACTAGAGCCCTGGTCTCCTAACTCCTACTCTAGTGGTGTTTTGTTTTAATTACCACAGACATTTGCACTTTTTATGACGGTCATTTTATGTTTTTCTGCAATCTCAGTATTTTAACACTACAACCGTGTTCTAGGGACTTGCAAGAGACCCTTTCTTTTAATTCATTAATTTCCTCTCTCTTTCTGTCCCTCTTCCCTGAAACCATCCCTAATAACTCTTTGGGGAGTCTTCTCTGCTCAAAAGATGCGAAAGAGTGGCCATATTTTTCCTGCCTAGATTTAAGCTACACTTTAGCTGTACGCATGACTGGGGTCAGGGTAGTGTTGCCAGATAAAATACAATGTTTGGGATGTACTTATACTAAAAAATTATTTGTTATTGTCCTGAAATTCAAATTTAACTGAGTGGCCTGCATTTTTCTTTGCTAAATACGGCAACCCTAACTCAGAGTATTTTCCCACTGATACCTTATAGTAAAAACAAGACACCCCAAGGTGCTTCTCTCCTAGGCTGGAGACACAAACAGAATTACTGGAGGTTGTCCTGTTTCTGGTGGGAAAATGGAGCCATTTTGACATCTCTATTGGTCCTTGCATTGGATCTCTGAACACCTTCTTGCTGGTCAGCTGAAGACCATGAGGAGGGGAGAAGAGAACGGGAACTATCGGAAGGTTCTATTTGGAGGCTGAAAATAGCCTTTTATTACATGAGTTTACCCTAGATGAACTGAGGCAAGTGGTTGATTTTGATTTCCAGGGCATGTTTCTGGATTAGATGATAATCCCCTCTTTTATCATCTCCAGCTCTAAAGAGTTTTCTTATTTTCAAATCAAGAAGCACATCTTGAACATTCTGTTCTTCTGGGAGTTGTTTCAAATGGAATGTTTCCTGGTTATGGATTTAACTAAACCATCCTGCTCAGGATCTGCTCTCTAGAGGAGAGAAGTCCTGCAGGCACCATCAGCCGTGGGTTGGGAACAGGGTGTACCATGGCAGCTGCCATATTGATTCACCCAGCCAT